AGCATTGTACTGCTTCAGGTTAATCGATATTACCTTCATTCTTATTTACAACAATTTCCAAATTGATCCTACGATCGTCCAACAAAGAAGAACAAGGAGATTGATATTCATTTATTTGGGAAAAACTCAAAAATATTTTCAAATATTAATATCAATCTAATCAAGTATTGAAGGAAGTTAGTCGACTGTTCTACATATCATGGGTGATAAGTAGTCAGGACTCAGTCATTTTTAAGGTTTTTATTATTTTCCCATCATCAGCCTAACATTATTTTCCCATTTTTGAGGGTTTCAGCCCAAAAGGCTCTCGCCCTCCCCCTCCCCCTGTGGGACCAGGTAGTATGAATAAAGAAGTAGTCACAAGTAAACATTTAAAACTTAATTGATACAACTTTGATACCAAACTAAAATTAGTTACCTTAAGTTTTGTTAACTCACAACATAATTTTCAACTTTAAAAAAATTAAAAGAAATATATTCTTGTTTGTCTCAATGAAATCAACTTAAATTAAAATATTATTAATTTTTCATAAATTTTCCCAAGTAATATAATTTATATCATGAAACAAATAGAAATATAACAATAAAATTCATTGTTTTTTTGTTGTTGTAATGTAATAGCAGTAACATAATTTTTGTCTTGAATGCGGTTATCCAAAATCAATTTTCAAAAGATAAATTTAATCTTTTTGTTGAGTTTTGACTCCATAAATCACACCTTACTATGGCACAAACTTCTTTCTATGGGCTTGAGTAGAAAAATAATTCGAGTTCTGAAAAGTATGTATGACAATGCGTACGCACAAATAAAGGGGACCATTGGAGGGCTGTCACAAAAGATGAAAATAACTGAAGAAGTGCTACAAGGAGAGACACTAAGTCCCATGATAATCTTTTCTTATTGGATATCAAGGCATATTTCTGCAAGGTTCGACATGTTTCTTTTGTTTGCACATGACATGGCTATTTTTGCTGATTCCTACACTGACCTTATAAGAAAAATTAATGCTCTAAAAGAATATTGCAATAAACTAGTTATAAACATTAATAAAATGAAAATTTTGAATTTCACAAGGGGTTGCCCAAAGAAATATAATAGTATATTGTAATAACCTTTATTGGAAGTGAGTAAAAAGGGTTCAATAAACTAATGTTGAACAATTAAAAGGCAAGCTAATCTAGTTCCACTAGTTCAGGGAAAAGAAAATAACTGCTTTGTAGGTTCCCCAATAAGAAAAATACCAAAGACGGGATAGAACAAAGGATTTGTTTTGGCAAGCAGTTGTTGTGTGGCTGCAGTGAAGAGAGGATAGGAGAAGTGATCCTGGCTCCAGTAGGAAAAAACCAGTAATAGTATTACCACCTTGGAAGTTGTTTGGCAGAGAAACTAGTTGATTGGAATTACAAGAAAGAGTATCTTACAGGGAGCTTGAGTTGAGTAGAAGAAAATGTCACCATTTGGAAGATGTTAAAAGACAAATGAATTTAGTGCAACAAAGAAAGAAACAGTATATAGAGAAAAAAGATTAGCTTGCCAATTCATAATTGACTTTATGTTAAAATCAGTGTTTAATTTTAATATAGTGTAAGTAATAATAATTTGTCTGAGTGATTTGATCCGATTGTCAGTAACCCACACCTGAGATAAATAAATATATTAATACTCTTATAATTTTGGTTATTATTACAATTATTATTTATTTGGTTATTATTGTTTCTTTTGGAAGTATCCTAATGGTATAAAGTGATCTTCCAGGGTTATATTATTATTATTCATACAATATAAGAGAGATGTTACAATATACATGGAAGGAGAACTGATACAGTCAGCTCAAAAAATTATTTAGATGTCCACATTTGTAGGTCTGGTCTGAGTAATCTCAAAGTCAAACTCGACAATAGGCACTCTAATAAAAATATGTTCAAAAGCCAAAATGAACTCCTGGAAGGCGAGAGTAAAATTGAAAAAAGCCAACATTAATACGTCTTGGCTATATTGTGCCCACGTATGGAGTCTCCGATACATAGATCTTTTAGAAAAGGTCAACATAAATTTTTATAAAATTACATTTTCTCTTAGTAAATCTACCCGACTTTTTAATACGCTTAGAAACAGGTTCTATTCATATTGGTTTCAATATTATGAAGTGTACCTTGTATTGGTTGGTCAAGCTTGTGGAAATAAAGGAATTTAGATACTCCAAAATATGTTTTGAGAAGCTAAGAAAGAAATGCTATCAATCTAATTTTGCTCTATCAAAATATAATTGGTGTGCTCAGCTCAAAGTATTGTTATATACTATTGATGAAGGAGATCTTGTTCATAATAACAACCCAGTCATAAGTAGATCTAATATTAAGATTATAAACAATAAATATAAACATTTGCTAGAGGGTGACAAGAAAGAAGCATTGCATAGCTCAGCTTATAGTGAGCATCTGAACCTTTTTTTTATAACAATGATCAGATCTCCCAGTATTTGTTGATGCCGGCTAACTTCAAATATACCAAAATTATTAATGCAGATCCGCCTCTCGAGAAAATACATGATTAAAGTCTCAGTTAACAATAAAATTATAAAAATCACTCCACAACTTGAGTGCAAGACTAAGAAAAAAGAGACACTTTATCATGTGTTATTTAAGTAACCAATATGCGATTGTTTGAGAATAAGAATTTACCAGGGTATGGGAAATCTTAATGGGATGGAAATATTTAAGCCAACCACTATAGATGATATGAGAAAATTATATTTCTTTATCTCTAATATATCTTCTTACTAGATATTTGGTGAGGTAATCTCAAATATTGTCCTTTGAATATTTTAGCAACAATGTAGATTGGATTTCGACATGTCTGCTCTGGCCTTGTTTCCTTTGTATATGTAAAAAAACTGTTAATTTAATTCTAAAATAGATTTAACATTAATATTGAAAAGATGAAATGTATTTAGTATATTACCGATAATTTAAGATTTTATATAGGTGTTGATAATTATTATGTATTATTTTAGCTGTTTGATTTTTTATGAAATATGATTTGTAAGTTATACTCAACTCTTTTATAATATGTATAATATAACATTACTAAGAAAAAATATTGTATTAACATAAGGATAGTAATGTTTATAATACAAAGATAGACTCCATTGGTATGGGATTCTTTCCTCAAAACAAATATAGATTAAATAAAATAGCGGTGAAGAGAAATTATAAAACAATAAAAATAATAATACAAATTATATCATCACGTTTTTGAGCAGCTTTGCATATAGTATATTCTCACAGTATGTCAGTCTCCCAAGTATCTAACTAAAAATTTAAACTGTTTGCAATGAAAATTTTACATATAATTGTAGAACTTTACATAATGGTATCACTTGCAGAATTGATGATAAGAAATATGGAACTTGTTTCAATAACATATCTAAATAAATCACTTATCATCATTACCACAGATAAGTGTGGAAAATAGCATTTTAATGGGCAATATATAACAAACATGTATGTTCATTATATATAAAAATATGACAAATTTTGATTTTAATTTCTACAATTAAATTATTTGGGTTACATACACCCAGTGGTGATTAGCTTACAACATTGTTGTAATACCTAGTAAAGTTCATTTCATACAACACAATAGATTCATCAGATGAATGTAATTAATATTTATAATCATCATTAAATATTATGTCTAGTTTAAATATTAATTTGCTGAATAACAATAAATACCAAGGCAATAAAAGCCTTATCTCAAATGTCTGTACAATTACACAAGTATGTATGTTGATTTAAATGTAGATATTAACAAAATGTATTATTAAGATAAATAAAAAGGAAGAGAATAACGATAATAGCCAACGAACTTTCAAGCTACCTAGGGCCACGTGGTGAGTAAAATAACCGTTGGCTTGCCTTTGTCCCTAGTCAGGTACAGGCCCTAAGCATTTAAACGGTTTTTCTTTTGTTGCACGTTCTGTAACCCTATAAATTTTTGTTAATTTATGTAAATGATTTTAATAATAAATTTTATTGGTTTGGGTAATCGTAGTTATTAATGTATTTAAACGGATACATATTTATGAGGGAAAACTGTTTACAAAGAATAACTATTAACATTTTGAACTTAATTTGAGCGTGACGAAATTTCCTGGTTTATAGCAATATTGCAATATTACTCTTTTTTGCTTAATGCTAAATATCGAACTAATGAACATAAAATGCGTATATAAGATGACGTAACTCTGATAGTGAACAGCTATGTCTTTTTTTTTTTTTTTTTGACCATTTACAATTTTTTAAAATATCTGAAAAATAAGTTTTAAAAGAATGTCTTAATCTACTAGTGTTTGAAACATTTATTTTTGATAGGTGTGTTTCATCTATATTTTTTAAAATTATTAAATATAACTAATTTAAAGTAAAAGCATATTATGCATCAAAATGACATAATTACTTGAGAGCTCTACATCTGCATGTGTTTTAAATTTAAAAAATAAACATATGTCTATTATCATTGAAACGGAGTCCACTCTAACGCTTTGTAATTTTTTAAAAAATATTTAGTTCTAAAGAATTATTAGGAGATTCGCCATTGCTATACTTCCTCTAAAATCGATTTTATTTACAGTGACGCAGCTGTATGGCCAATGAGCGCTGCTGTTTCATTACAGCTAATGTTATCTTGAACCTGATTGGTCGAATAGTTCTAGAACAGTCTGGAACGAGTCTCTTGGCACAAAACTAGCAGGAGTTCCGGATTCTCTTCACTTTGAGTCAAGATTTCTAACAAGACGAACATTGCGTACAATTTTCTCAACTTTTTTATTATTAACTAAGGTAATAATTCTAAGCACGCTTTACATTTATATGCGTTGTTAGTTGTACTGTAAGTTTTCAGTTATTAATCACTGTTTTAATACAATAATTATTACGGATTTATTAAGGACCCGCGTTACCATGTGCTTAGCACATTTCGTTTAACATTTCTATCTTTTTTATTTATTTACTATTCTTGGATTTTCAAGTCTTATTTAGTTTACAGAGTTTTAAGTGAGTCATTTATTATTGTTTCTCTGATATTTGTAGGTTGTAGCCACATTCTTATTTTTTGGGAGTGGCGTCCTTTTATTGATTGAAATAATTTTACTTCAATATTAGTTGGTCCTAGCCTCAATTCATTCCCCGACATTAGTAATAGCCAATCTACTTAAGTTATTGATCCACCTTAAGTGACCTTGATATTTAACTAGTAAGTTAGGAAATTTTTTTTTTTTTTACAAGTATAGTTGGTTAACTAACAACGTGTTTATTAGTATAATACAACATGTATTTCAATTGTATCAACAATTTTAATCCTGAAAAGTACATCCTTTTAGTAACTTCTTTTCAAGGTCACAGTGACTTGCAGTATCTGTAGACATTTTGGCTATTAGTTGCTTGAAAAAGAATATTAAGAAACTGTACACTGAAAGTCTTATATCTTGTATTTGCAGTAATTAATAACTTATTCCTGAATGTTTTTGTATAAAATTATTAAGTAAAATGTTTTACAATTTTAGGTATTTAAAACAACGAAATGGCTAAAGCCCCAGCAGTAGGTATTGATTTAGGAACCACTTATTCTTGTGTTGGAGTTTTCCAACATGGCAAAGTTGAAATTATTGCCAATGATCAGGGAAATAGGACAACACCTAGTTATGTTGCCTTCACAGACACAGAGCGTCTCATTGGAGATGCTGCCAAAAATCAAGTCGCGATGAATCCTAATAACACAATTTTCGGTAAGTTTCTTCAAATTATTTTAAGCATGTTAAGTGTATTTATAATTAATAATGATGTCAAGTTCTGTATGGCCCAAGGTTATCAGTGTCTGTTCATTACTGTAACCTAATTTGTATTTTAATTGTAATTTACTATTATCATGTTTAATTTCCGGGGTTTTAGATGCCAAACGGTTAATTGGTAGGAGGTTTGATGATCACACTGTACAGTCTGACATGAAACATTGGCCGTTTGAGGTAGTTAGTGATGGAGGAAAACCAAAAATTAGAGTTGCATACAAAGGAGAAAACAAGACCTTCTTCCCTGAAGAAGTAAGTGGTTTTGTATTGTTTTTATTTAATGTTGGGTCTCATAAAATCAGTAAAGTTTTATTGTTAAAATAATGGAATAAGAATAAGGCAATTTATTTTATAAGTAAGTCATGGGTAAGTGCTGATAATCAGTCAGATTTAGATCAGGCTGTTCATTTGAAAAAAAAGGGTTTTTTGGGATTGCTTCACAGTTGTTTCTTCTCCAATCTGATGGGTTGGATTAATATCTCACTGTAATTAATCAATATCAACTGTTGATTAAATTCTAAAACTGTTAAAGTTTAAGCAGAGGTTATCTTTTTAAGATCCTACCTAACTTAAATAAGAGAGTTTGTGGGTTTGTCAATCCTTTTTGGGAGAGCATAACTCAAAAAGTAATTTAATGCTTATAATTTAACTGATAAGGATTTGTTATGAGTTTTTGGCTAGGTTGTAATGACTGTTAGTTTTTATTTGTTTATTTAGAAATATCATTCTGTCACAATCAAGGACATTTATAATAGTGTTCAGGGAGCACACTCGCACTCTATTTACAATAAGAAAAAATAAATAATACAGAAACTAATAGTAATAAAAATAAATGCATATAAACAAAAGAACTAACCTAAAATGACTGTTGATAACTTTGTTTTTACTAATTTATTTGATTAGTTAAACAGTAGTTGACAGAATTTTACTTGCACCAATAATGATTATGATTAACAATGTGGTAAGTTACATAACTAGCAGATCTGGCAATATTTGCTTCTTCTGAGAATACTATTGTACTGTTTTTGTTTAGTATGTTTTTTAAGACTACTACAAATATGATTTCATTTAAAGATCATTCCGAAGAAAGATAATCATCATATAAAGTCTTCAATCTGTTTTTTACTTTCAGAAAAATTGCTCCCTCTTTATCTTTTTCCCAGCAGTTTTAAAATAATTAATAACCTTTATTTAATCAAATGATCTAACACCTTGTTAATTGTAAAAATCAATGTTAACATACACTCATGTGGATAGAGGGTGCCATAACATTGTCATAGATTTAATTAATTCTTATAATTATATTTAAGTGTTTTTATTAGATTTTCTAAACTGGCAATCAAGTTTGTTTTAAGTTTGCTTTCCTTATAAGCAGTCTTTACAAGAATTGCCTAGAGAAAATTTTAAGGTAGTTCATAGTACCTTAATGAGTTCAATGCTCGTTAAGGCCTCCAAGCTATTCTACATTTAAATTCTTTAAGTTATTCATACTTAATTTATTTTATTTTTTTTAACCCTGAATTGATTCTATTTTATTTAGCCCATTTTTAAGTAACAAGTAATACATGCAGGCATTTTTTTGGTTGTTCATGTTCTCCATTTCAAGAATTTCCTTTAATATTAGTGAACCCATTAAATTTGGTTTAGTAAGATAGGATGGGTAATTAGTTTAATTTAATTAGTTGAGTAATCAGTTATAGGTTTTCAATGATAGGATAGAATATCGGTTTTCAAATTTTCGGTAGGCCTAACCTCTTCTTAGCTCATTGGTTGAGTGTTTCTAAAATTATGAGCTCAATAATTTCTTAGATTGACAATATCAGTGGAATCATTATACCTGAAATTAGTATTATTTAAGAGTTCAATGTTCAAATTCAATGATTTTAATTTTACTTGGCCCATAACTAAAAGATTATTGATTAAAGAATGTATTTTTAATTGTTTTATACTTGATACCTCAGTTAATGAGCGATAAATTTAATAAAATATTGAAGTAATGGTTTCCTTTTAAATTTGTATGCCCAGTTCTTCAGCAGTAACTAAAATATTAACCAGGCATGGTTGTGATAACCAGTTGAATAATAAAATTTGAAAAGTTCCTTATTTTTAAGTATTAATCTTGAAATGGCTAAGTATTATTAATAAAAGGGGTAATAATAATTAGTTCATTATTTATTAGAGTTTGTTGAAGTTAGTAAATTTTCATCAATTACCTGGGCCATGATGATGTTTCATATCCACGACCATAGGACACTTCTGAATTATTATGATCTCATGAATCAACTGAGCCCAGTTAATATTAAAGTGGAATGTATCAAGAATATTTTTTCTTTCCAATAAGACCAAAGCAGTAATTCAAAAATAAAGACTAAGCTTTCCTAATCTTACGTCTGCCCAATGATGAATTATTTATTTAAATTATGTTAACAAATTATCATTTAAATTTCAGATTTCATCTATGGTTCTTACCAAGATGAAGGAAACAGCTGAAGCTTACCTTGGAAAGACTGTTACAAACGCTGTAGTCACAGTACCTGCTTACTTCAATGATTCCCAAAGACAAGCCACAAAAGATGCCGGAACCATTTCTGGACTAAACGTACTCCGTATTATCAATGAGCCAACAGCTGCTGCCATCGCCTATGGTCTGGACAAGAAGGTGTGTGTACGTATTCCTTTAGTATTTTTTTTTATTATTTTATAGTATTAATTAGATTTATTTTTTTATTTTAGTAAATGAAATCGTTGATTTCTTAGTTTTAATTAGTAAGACTATTTTGTTTTCTCAACCCTTTGACTGTGGGAGCTCATTGAGTGTTTCTATCAGATGGATCCCGAAATCCATAAAGGCATAGAGAAAAACTTTTTTTTTTAATTTGTTTAAATATCAATGGTGATAAATATTCAGGACACAGTCATTATAAAGTTTTTATTAGTGCTGGCGTTTCAACCTAAACATCATCAGGGCATGGTTCAAGCACTGAAGGCATTCAATTGGTACCTTATTCCACTTAAATACTTTAAGTGCTTGAACCCATGTCCTCATAATGGACCCACATTTTTGGGGTTGAAACGCCAGTACTAATAAAAACTTTATAATGACTGCGTCCTGAATATTTATCACCCGTCACATGTAAAACAGTATCTAACTTCCTTCAATGATTTGTTAAAATACTATTTTGATTCACCCTGCAAAATCTTAGCTTCCAAAAATTTATTTTAACCTTTTTATTTAATTTCTATTAAACGGAACTTATGTCTTCCCGGCCGCACATAGCAATCCAAAATTACAGAGGCAATCTCACTTCACTTCCTTGTGTATTTGCTCATTTCTGAAAAGCAAAATAACTGAAGATTATCGTAAGAATAACTAAGTGATCAAAAAAATTGAATTACATTATATCTAAAAAAAGGACACCAATGGCTGTGGGATTCGAATTTCTTTGTATTTAAAAAAGTTTTTCTTACCTAAAAAAAGGAATTAAAGTCCTGTCTGCAGTCAAAGGGTTAATTATAAATAATTTCATACCAGCATGTTGTTTATTCATGATGAATTTAAATGTGACCATAGGACTCCTTCTGATTATATGATTACAATTTATATTCTGAAATTATAAGTTTTTTAACAAATATTAACAAATCTTACCTTGGCAATTTTATGATTTTATTTTTAATTAATTTCAGGGATCTGGGGAGAGAAATGTTCTCATTTTTGATCTTGGTGGTGGTACCTTCGATGTTTCCATTTTGACTATTGAAGATGGTATATTTGAAGTCAAGTCAACGGCAGGAGATACTCATTTAGGAGGTGAAGATTTTGATAATAGGATGGTCAATCACTTTGTCCAGGAATTCAAGCGGAAATATAAGAAAGATCTTACTCAAAATAAGAGGGCTCTTCGAAGGCTAAGAACAGCTTGTGAAAGGGCAAAGAGAACTCTGTCATCCTCTACTCAAGCTAGTATTGAGATCGATTCTCTCTTTGAGGGAACTGATTTCTATACATCTATCACCAGGGCCCGGTTTGAAGAACTTAATGCTGATTTATTTAGATCTACCATGGAACCAGTTGAAAAGTCCCTTAGAGATGCCAAGATGGACAAAGCCCAAATCCATGACATTGTTTTAGTCGGTGGTTCTACTCGTATTCCAAAAGTACAAAAACTTCTTCAAGACTTCTTCAATGGCAAGGAGCTCAATAAGTCTATTAACCCAGATGAAGCCGTTGCTTATGGTGCTGCTGTTCAAGCTGCTATTTTGCACGGTGATAAGTCCGAAGAAGTACAAGATCTGCTTCTGCTGGACGTTACTCCATTATCACTTGGTATTGAAACTGCAGGAGGTGTCATGACTGCTCTCATCAAAAGAAATACAACTATACCTACCAAGCAAACTCAAACATTCACCACTTATTCTGATAACCAGCCTGGAGTACTTATTCAGGTTTATGAAGGTGAGAGGGCTATGACAAAGGATAATAATTTACTTGGAAAATTCGAATTAACTGGCATTCCACCTGCACCTCGAGGTGTTCCACAAATTGAGGTGACATTTGACATTGACGCTAATGGTATTCTTAATGTAACAGCTATTGAAAAATCTACTGGCAAAGAGAACAAAATCACTATCACCAATGATAAAGGACGTCTCTCTAAGGAAGAAATTGAGAGAATGGTTAATGATGCCGAGAAATACAAGGCTGAAGATGATAAGCAGAAAGCTGTCATTCAAGCTAAGAACACTCTGGAGTCCTATTGTTTCAATATGAAATCTACTGTAGAGGATGAAAAACTGAAAGACAAAATTTCCGATTCTGATAAAACTACAATTTTGGAGAAATGTAATGAAGTTATTCGCTGGCTCGATGCTAATCAGTTAGCTGAAAAAGAAGAATTCGAACATAAGCAAAAGGAATTGGAAGCCATATGCAATCCTATTATTACTAAATTGTACCAAAGTGGTGGTATGCCCGGAGGAATGCCAGGTGGTATGCCTGGTGGTTTCCCAGGCGGTGCCCCTCCTAATGCTGGTGGTGCTGCTGGACCTACCATTGAAGAAGTTGATTAAACATTCCATGCAAATAAACACACAAATAATACATTGTATAATTAATACTAGTTGAATTGCAATTTTTTTTTCCTTTCTAGTCAAGAGACCTTCAAATGGCCTTGTATTTTTGTTTAAAAATTTAATGTTAATAATGTAACTTTTACAAGTATTTTGTTTATTTATAATTTTTTTATATGTTCTGTCATTGGTATCAATGAATTATATTAGAGTTACTATTAACTAATGTTTTTAAATAAAAATATAGCCTGTAGAGGAATACTTGATGTAAATGTATACAGTATTAAATGAGCCATATAATTTTTATTTAAATTCCATTTTTTTAATTTATATATTGATAAATTGCATTTTGTGTGTTATACTTGCCTCATTGAATTTATGTTAATGAATATTTTTTATAGTTAAAAAAAAAGGCTGATTCCAATTTAAGTTTTATTTTGAAGAAGAATTTTGTACCCTTGTTTGATAAATCTTGTGAATCTTGTTATGGTTAAACATCTTTTGGTAACCACCCTTTGGTTGTATTCAAAATTGTGAATGAAACATTTTCGGCACAAAATTAATAAAATTAATTATTCCGCAATATGTTTTATTGTTTTTCCTGTTCCTTATTTTTCCCAGTGAACTCTTGTAACATAAGGTGTATGTGAAATAAATAAAAATAGTGTTAACATCTAAGTATAATATTTGAAACAACTACCTCACAAAAAAATATTGATTCAGAATATGAAAAGATTGTTATGGATATCGAGAAATTCTGTTCAGGTCTAGATTTGATTTGTTCACCTATCAATCTAAAGTTGGCCTTGAATAATCATCTTAATCTTAACTATGGTATAAGGTCGGGAGTGGAGGCTAAGGCCAGCCGCAAATTGAGCGCAGGGCAGGCACAGCACAGGGGGTAGTAGAGGTTCAACAGGACCCAGTAGTGAGCCATTCTACCTCAGCATGTGCCTATTCTCAATTAAAGATAACAAGTTATTTAAATAAATATTTATTGAGGCATTCAAATAAATACTTTTATTAAAATGCTCATTTTCTCTAAATAAAACTAAATTAAGTTATATGAATAAAGTTTATTGTACTTCTTATTTATTAAACTTTTATTTAGATGAAAATGCTAAGTAATAATAATATAACTTCATGTACCTTCTATAAAATAAACTACGTATTATTAATAAGAAAAATATTTATTTCATTTAAAATCTATATTTCTCATGTAATCCTGGAGGGCAGTCTCTTACCTATCAATTTGTAATTCATTAATTTCAAATTTGCACGTTTCCTCGATTTAGGGGTCTGTTATTATGTTACTCATCTATTTATTATTGATTGATTTCAAGTTTTTAGACTTCAACGAACTAGAGGACTGTTTTTATCTTATCGGAGGCAAAGCTTTTATAATTATTATCGATTATATGATTACTTCCCTTATCTACTGTGTTACTTGTTCAGCATAAATTATTTAAGTCGGTGTGCTGTATTTGTGAGGGTAAGAAAAGGTATAAATCAATCCCTATTGCATATATATATACATAATTATGTATTAAAAATTAAATTGAAATTGAAGATATTTTCAACATCCATTTTGTAACACGATGAGAATAAAAAGAAAGAAGTATTAATGCAACAATTACTAATAACAATTTAAAATTGGGAATAAAACAAATTCTAATTTATAGGATGTTGGAAATAAAATGGATAGTTAATAATAAATCACAAAAACAACTTTTTTTTTCTTACCCTCTAAGAAACTTTAATCAACTACTGTATGTATATATATATATATATATATAGGGTAACTGTAATCGGCTATTCCGATTACAGTTACCCTTCAACATTCAACAAAAGAGGGTCGTATTTGAATATTCCATACTTGATTATGCTTAATAAAAAAATAAATAAATACAAAAAAATGCATACTGAACATGAATTTCAATACTGTCAGTTCAAAAGGTCTTATGTATAAATTTATTTATTGTTTTACAAGAGTGCATAAAAACTCAATATTTCTTTATGCTTTATTAGAATAATTTCATATTTTATTTTCATCTGCTGTTTTCCATAGTAGCAGACTACTTATATCAGTTGCAGACTACAAAATATCACCTTTGATACACATAGAATTAAAGTTGAAAATTATTACATACGAACTTATGCTCTAATAATAGTATATACATTACCAAATCAAGATTTAATTTTGGAGGAGGCGCCTCAGATTTATATATATATATAAAACGATAATTAATTTGAAAAAAACCACTGCAAATTATTTCTCTTTGGTATATTATTTCCAAACAATTATACATATAAAGTAACATTAAATTCCTAGTTATAAAGAAAAATAAATAAAAGGTGATTCTAATTATTGGACTAAAATTTTTTTTAATCATTAGTAATATGCTAAAAAAAAATAGCATTACTTCAGTAACACATTCAGAAATAAAAAAAAAAGATAAACCTTTTGCAATAGCATATCTAAAAAAAAACTAGAGACCATATCTTTGCTCCTAATTGTCCGATTTTGACGATTTTTTTTTTTTTTTTTTAGAAAATTCCGTAAACTTCTAAAAAACCATATACAATATTGACATAAATGTGTATACTTCTTGAGTTATTCGGAATTTAATTTTACCATTCCTCGTAACTTTTTTTGAGCTTCTTTTCGTTGAAGTATGTAGCATAGATAAATTTAGAGGGCGTAGAGAAAATGACTTTAGCGAAGTTTCATCAAAATCGGTACATTCGTTTAGGCGCTACAGTCTATAGCAACGCAGGTTTTTCGGCCGCCATTTGGAAACTAGAAGGCGAATAGTAATGTCGTTGAAGGAGGATGATCCTCGGGTGACCCCTGATTTTATATCCAAATTCGAAAAAAATCGGTCTAGTAGTTTCAGAAAAAATGCGCGGACGGCGGACTAGTAGTGCACATAGAAGAGAAAGTGTTGGACACAATTCAATGAAATTGACACTACATTATTTTTTCACCAAAGTGTACCTTTTATCTAACTTTGAGCCAAATTGAAGGAGCCCTTTCTGAAATATTGGCATATCTAAAAATATATGTTTGCGCGTGCGTAAGCGGAAGTGCTGGATGGAATTTGATAAAATTGATATGGGACCATCTAGGCACCAATCGGCATAATCCCTGAAAATTTCATGAAGATTGGATGAACGGTGCTAGGTGATATGCCCGTCACATCGATTTGACTACAGACAGACACCGAACCAAATTTGATCCTTGATGTCTGAAACGTAAAACGTGAGTGAAAATTTTTGGTTCTGAGCAAAAAAAATTTTTTAATCTCTCGCACGAACACAATGCTTCCCTACCTTCGGTAGTGAGGAAGCAAAAATAGAAGCTTACTAATGAAGGAAGGGGATTTAGAAAAGGCAACCTACCGCTGTTTCAGATTTTATAGCTTTTATTTCACATTTTATTTATGACACCCTTATTTTAATTTTGGTTTATTATCAAGTTCATTCCTAGCGTGTATTAACAATTTTTCTCTAAGAGTGAAATGGTTTGTTATTTTAATTAATCAAATTTAATGTGGTTTAAAGGGAAAAATTCAGTATTTAAGTCCTATCAGACCGATTACTCCTTCCTGATATTAAAGACCCCTCGATTTTGCATTGAGATAATGAGTTTAGTTAAACTGTTTATGAGAAAATTACAACAATGTGTAAATTGTGTGATAAAAAGTGACACTTCCAATTAGTCGACAGGTGAAAAAGTTGTTTTTATAACCCAGGACCTTAGACATTTGGTGCTCCCGGGTAATGATGTCAACTCCTCCCCTAAAAATTTAAATTAATTTCTTAAGCTGTTTTATATTATTTAATATTTGAATTTTTTTAAATTTAAGATTTCTTTAATTTAGTTGCTTTATTGACAGGTAAAAATTAATTATTTTAATACAAGTGGTCAGCACTCCTTGAATATTGGCCGGCACCCCTTTAGAATGACACCCCAGAGCAATTTCCCTGGTTGTCCCATCCTAAGGCCAGCATTGATAATGACCAGACATCAGTAGTCAAGCGTTACTTCTACTTTCTTATAATGGAAGAGTAATTTGTAATTAATGGGCTGGTTTCCCAAGGATTAAAGGACTCTAGCATTCATGCATAGAGATGTATTGGCAAAGCCTGGAGAATATTCACTTCCACTTCGTTTTCTAGACAGCACCAATAGAGAAGTAATGAACAAAGCTCTGCTGCAATTGGGGATTCCACAAACATTAATTTGGTTTATTTAGATGACTGAAAGGGGATGAGCGTGCTTCAAAAAGTGGTACAAATGATAGGATATTGTGGGGATGGAATCTCCTGAAATACATTCATTCACTTCTTAGAGAAACTGGAATTTCTCCTTCAAGCCAGTGGATAATACATGTTATAGATTGAACAGAGGTCTTTAAACTGGTACTTTACTGTCTGTAGTCCTTGAAACTGTTTTGTCACTAACTTTAATTCTCCCAAATTTTTGCTTTTGTTGAAGTTAGTTAATTTAATAAAAGTCCTATAGGATCAGGGCATTGTATTTGTTACTTAACTGTTTTTTAACAACATAAAATATTAAGTATTGGGATGGGATCAGCAAAAAAAATTTTTCGAGTGGGGGATCAGCAGACTACACGTGTTTAAGAATCCTTGTATTAAATAGATCATATAAGCGTTATCCACAGATAATGCCCAGATTCAAACGTCTCATGAAGTGATGGATTATTGTATTTGGAAAATTAAGAAAATAATTGGAGAAGTATAGAAGAGAAGTATATCAACTTCTTGGGAAATCAAAAGCCCATTTTTATTACATTACATAAGTTCAGCTGAGATGTGCTGGAAATCCAAACCACCGTTGGGATAATTTTGAAGAAACTGCTGGTAGGAACCATTATTTGACTGGTCAAGAGGAAGATACACGCAAAGATGAGAAGATGATTTTTAAAAAATGCCCAGACCCTAATGAAGGTACGTAATCGGAGATCACCCTTACAAGACAATCACCAGGCTTATAATTAATTGAACTGTAGCATCTGAAAATAAAGTAGAATGTTGGGTTTTTGCGAATTGTAACAAAAAAAAAAGAAAAAAGAAAGATAATATAATGAACTTGTTATGAGAATAGAAAATTATCATTGAGTTTCAGAGAATGTTATTCAAATTGATATTCAGGGAGCAGTAGTATGAGTAACAACTTTTGATAAATCATAAAAAAAAAATCCTATTTCTTATCTTATCATAAAAAAACCTTATTTTGAGATATAAATATATAAGTATATAAAATTTACTCAAAAAGAAATATTGTGGTATAAGTAATATATTCTTAATAACATAATTTTAATAAATTTCTAGTAAATATTTAAAATTGAAAAAAAATATTAAATGAAACATGAAGATTATGTCTTATTCTCTTGAGCAAAGCCAGCATATTAATTTCTAAATGATCTGTCCCAAATTTATTTTATAGTATAGTATTAATATTGTATAAAGATGAGTGATATGGAAAAGAATTTGTATATATATAAATATGTGATTGAATTATAATTAAGTGCTATGTCAAAAAAAAAAAAAAAAGAAAAAGAGAATTGATGAGTATGCTGTGTATTGAGCAACCCTGTATAGTATGGCAGCACTGCTTTAAAAAGTATATTTCTCAATGATTTTTCAGGTTCTTTTTATTTTATTATTTTTCCAGTCCAGTGCTAAGATTTTTTTTTATGATGTGTATGCCAAAGAAAGTCTATAATACATGATGAATAGCTGGAAGGAAACATTGAAAAATAAGAAATACCTATACAGAAAAAAATTACAAAAACTCAAAACTTCTGAAAAATTATAAAACTCTCTTCTAGGATTTCTTTATTAATTTTTTTAGTAATATTATACGATGTATGACTCTTCTAGGCCTGTTTGATTTA